GAAACTGGGCTGATATTTACAACCTTTCCATGTGTTTGTTTCCTAAGAGGAAGAGGAGATGCTAATTAATGAGGCAAATGACCTCACTTTGTAAAAATATCCTTCCCTTTTAAAACTGTTCTTACTTTGTAAAAATGACCTTACACCAAAGGTTAAAAACTGAAACTGGTCTTCAGTCTTATTCTAAAACAGATACACAAACATACAACAAGATTTACAGTTTTTTTCTGAATATGTAAATATGTGTGTATAAACAGATGAATTATTGAGTAGAACAGAAGCCCTCTTTATATTCCTGCAGGAGTGCAGGGAAGCGTACCTGATGCTGAATGTAGGCATGCAGCCTCTCCAGCATCCCCTCACAGGTGTACTCATAAGGCAGATACGGCTCAACCTGTAAGACATGCGACCAACAACAAGGTTAGTTTAGTGACATTTTATTGTTTGGATTCTGAATCATTGTTCACTCTAATTGCCCAAAATTTCCTCCTCCTCTTGTTGGTTTCTGGAGATGAATGTTTCCATTGTCAGGTTCTGCAAAGCCTCGTCACTGCTTTGCAATTCATTAGACTTTATTTGCATTCCAATAGATCATCCCTTGCTGTGAGATAGGAGTTTTATAACTAACAGACCCTTTTGATTGGCCTAATTAGCAATGAGCTCCAAGGACTATACATCACCAGTGTTTCTTTGAATGTTTAACACACAGCGACGGACCGGCACGGAGCAGGAAGAATGCTGAATATCAAAGGCTGTAAAACCAACTTCATTAAGCTGGTTTTTACTTTTTATGTTCAGGTCTGCATTATGGATAGATTATTAAAAATAGAAGGTAAGTTAGTGCTTGGAGTGGAATAAAATGATGCATTTTCAGCTGCATAACTTATAGTCAATAGAATAGATTCTGTTTACAGGCTAAACATGCTGGAGTTTCAGAAAGTCGTTAACTGGAGTCAAGATATGTTTCATCCTAAATGTTGGACACATTTAAAGGAAAATGTCAAAATGCTGCAAAAGGAAAAACAAAGACTTGCTAATTAGGTGTGTTTCCACTTGATTATGGGCAAATTAGCAAAGCTACAGAAAACATTATTTCCTCAGAATTTAACATTAAACATCAGCAGGAAGTACAGATTCAAACATCCAAGAAATACGGAGAGATGTTTTCAGGAACATGTTGCTTCCAGGCTTGATGTCATTGTTCTGTCATGTTATCTGGAATTAGGGATTTTAAATGCAGTCCATGAAGATGCTAACGGCGGAAACAGTTTGATTCATCAGAACTTATTCATCGAATATGTTTCCATCTTCCTCTCAGTGCATTCCTGCACGTCTTTTACAGGAACGAAAAAACAACAACATAGACTGAGCCTTAATACTTTTTCAAGGAAGTTATTTTTAATTTAGAAATTTCCATTAACGTTGAGAAGTAGACTGTGATTTCCTCACTTTAGAATCGAACACAAAGAAAGAAAGAAAGAAAGAAAGAAAGAAAGAAAGAAAGAAAGAAAGAAAGAAAAAAAGAAAGAAAGAAAGAAAGAAAGAAAGAAAGAAAAAAAGAAAGAAAGAAAGAAAGAAAGAAAGAAAGAAAGAAAGAAAGAAAGAAAGAAAGAAAGATTGATTTCTGGGAATAGGAGAATTTGTCGTCCAGCTAGAGCTTTCTTAGTGCTGCCTGACGGAGCATGAACCTCTACATCTCTCAGTGAGTGCGCCTCGGTGCGTGTCTCACGTTAATGGCTGTAATGTGCAGGTAAGGCCCCATGTCAGCAGGGTGAGTCAGCAGAGGGACGTTATCTGAGTGTCTGCTGAGGCATGTTGCCTGCACTGAAGGGTGAAGTGGTCCATCAGCTCTCCCTCAGAGGAGATGGAGACGGCGCCGTCAGCCAGTGCTGCAGTCTGATAAAATCATTCACACATGCCTCCACTGTAGACACCAACCTGTCAAATCTCCATGCACACTTGATTCACTCGGCTGATTCCTACAGCAGGGGAAGAGCAGAAACCAGACAGCTGTCCTCCGCTTGTTTCACCGCATGCAGAATGGATCGGGTTGGGTGAGCACATCATCTAGTATTTCTTTGTTTGAATGGTTAAAATGCAGAAATAACAGATAAGCTAATAAAGAAGTGTGTGATACTTTGATAGTGAGAGGGAGATCAATAGATCAGCTGGTGACCAATATGGACCATAGGACCCAGAATCCAAGCAGACAGATCAGCGTGTTACCAAAGCAAGTGTTTATTGACTGCTTTGCTAACAGCAGCTTACCAGCTGAGGCAGGATCACTGCATTCTCTGTAGAGGTGGAAACTCAGGTTAGTGACTACGTAACTCAGACGGTTAACGATGATGAGCATGTGAGTCGCTAACCTGTTCAGTTTGAGCTAAGAGGAAGGAGTGGAATTGGGAAGGATTGTTTCTCCACAGCAGGCGGCGAGCTGCCGTCAGAGTTCCAGGAGACGAGCAGAAGCCAACAGAGGAGGAAGAGCAGAGGAATCCAGAAAGATGATCCAAGGGCAGAGAGGAAGCAGGAGCAGGTTTCCAGGCAAGAAGATCAGAGATCCAAGGATGTTTCCAAGCCTGGGTCAAGAGACAGATCCAAGGTAGGATCTGGCAGAATCCAGGTAATAGTCCGAAGACAGATCAGGCAAACAGAGCAGAAACAGGGGCAACGAAAACTCAGGAGTCCAGAAGCAGAAACTAGTGAGGATCAAGTAATCAAGAACACACTGCTACAGAACTCCCACACAAGACTAAAAAAAATAATCTGGGATTGATGGCTGGGACCAGATTAGATTCAGAAGAATGGGCAGAAACACAAACCGGATCTGGTTTTGTAGGTGCTGGGGCCATAGCTACTGGAGAGTCATGAGTTCCTGAACTAATTACATGAGTTCTGGGTAACAGGAGGCTTGGAGATGAAGAGAGTCTGGTACGTTCCAGTCGAGTTCCTCACCAGGTCTACCTCCCCGCCGCAGTAAAAACGCAGGTTAAGCTGATGACATCGGTTCCTCTCCTCCTTGGACAGGTTTGTGTGTCCCAACTGCATCGGTTCCGGTTCTGGCACTCGAGCCAGACCAGGAATCGTCACAAGTGCAAAGGGAGCGGGGTGAGGAGTTGGTCGAGGGAAAACCGACATCATTGCTCTACGTTCTCTGCAACATTCTATGAGTTGCAGGTCTATCCGGTCAGCAAGGTCCTCCAGCTGCTTCAGAGTCTGGGGTAGTCGTTGAAAGTTCAGCGTTTTAGGCGATTCTGGGACGTCGGCGGACGCTGGATAAATCAGCAAGGTGTGAGAGGGGATTTAGTAATTCCAGCAAATTCCAGGGATTTCAAATTTCTCACATCATTTTTAATGGCTGTTTGCTTACCTGCTGCTTTTT